AGAGAGAGAGAGAGGTTATCTAACAAAAGAATTGAGTAAGAAAAATAATATTTGAGAATCATCAATAGATCATTACCTAGTTTTAAGGCTCTGAAGTAGGTGGGCCCAGCCAAGAGGAACTAACTTTACCAAGCCAAGAGTTATCCATGGCCTAAAGCACCCCAAAAACCCTAAGGGGCCGTTTGGGTACCTGAAAATATATTACAGGAAAATAGATTACTGGGAAATATGATATTTACACTATTTGGGTACACTTTATTAGTAAGGACATGAAAATAGATTACACAATATTTCCCCAAATATCATGAAATCTATTACACGCAGGGAAGGCTGCGAAATCTTTAACGCGCGTGACAGGTAATCTATTGTGTGTCTCTCTCTAAGAAAAAGCCCTCCCTTTATTTGCTGCCAAAAAAAAGTACCATCTCAAAAATCACTTTCCCTCTCTCCTGTGCACATCCTCGTCTCCTTCTCTAGCTCGTCTCAAAACCCTAGAAGAGTTTGCAGCCACAATGAAAACTGAAGATTGGTAAGCCCTAACCCTTCTCTCGCATCTCTCTCTCTATCGAGCTATTCAGAACAACCTCTTCTTAGACCCACAACAAAAACTGAAGATTGGGATTGAAGGAGTTAGCAGCCAGCTATCTCACTGGATTAACAAAAATTGAAGAGGGGTGGGGCAAGGCTTCTATCATCTTTCTTGGAGATCAAATTTGGCTGAAATAGTTTTCTTGGTATGGTATTTATTTCCCAGTATTTTGATGATTTGTTTTTTCTGTTTTTTCTTATAGTTTTGAGCATTTGTTGATTGGTTTCTTCCTCATATTTATAGGATTATGAATATACATATATCAGCTTTGGATTTTTTACCTGGTTTTGTTCATTTGTTGAGATTATTGGGATGGCTTGCTGTTTATGGGTTTTTTTTTTTGTTTGTGTTGTGATTAGAAGATTTTGTATGTTTGATCTTTTTTTGCATGGAAAATGCCGTCTTTTCTGTAAATTGTGGGAATAGGTGCAATGTGGAATAAATTATATTTGGGTTATGGAGCCTTTAAAGTATTCCCAATTTAGACATGGATTGAGTAGTTCCACTACTAGTTAAGAGTTGAGGCCATATTAAAGCCAACGAGTTTTGGAATAAACGTGGAGGACTACTGCTGGGTTTTTGAAGAAACAGGACTGCTTGGTTTTGGAAGAAACAGGGACCTTTAATTGGCACGAACAGTTTTGTATGTTTCATAAGAAAAACAATTTCATTTATTTTCTCTTCACAGTTGCTGGATTTAGGGAAGCAATTGGCTGACTGTAAGAGCTGTTGTTTTAACCTCTATTACCAGAAGAAACACTGACTTCACCAGATGCACTTCTTAAATTGGACATGTTTTGCTACTTCCCTTCAAAACATAATGCCTAGGATTTATAGGAAAACACTGAAACACCTGATCTGCAACATAAC